CCGTTGCCTTAACTTGAATTATCTATTTGCATAATGATACTAAGCCACTGAATTTAGTTATCAAATTTGGGGTGATTTGAGTTGACTAACTCCTTCAGGAGGACGAGAGACATATACCCGAATCATTTTGGAAGCCTTTACACAAGGCTAGTCGTTAGGGAACACTTTCCGCAAATGGCAGATAGTGTGCCAGTCGGGATCCGCTTTCACATTGCCTTTAATTAATACGCGTGTTAGTATGATGTTTTTGTCGAATGTTCGCAGTTATGTCCTTCATTCTAAGGCGAGTAGGTCATTGGTAAATAACTACATCAATTAAATGCCCAACGACATACATTCTATGGAGGCAAGGCAATATTCCTTTGATTTTTCACTAATTTAGAGAGAAAGCACGGTAGTTGGCTCTGTCAAAAGGATAAAAACGACTTTTATCTCTGTTATATTTTTCACTCCTGGTCATTACGGCAAGCAAAACGGTGGTTTACATACATAACTTTATGCTTTATCAATTTGTCCAAAAAATACTGCAAATGAGGTAATTGCATGCATCGAAATCTTCGCTTATATGATGGTGACAACGTTGATTAAAAGCAAAGTCTAAGTAGGCCGTTTGACTCAGAACGCGACAATAAATCCCAGGGGAACATCTAAGAACCTGGAAGAAATGACTGCAGGTCATAAAAAAGAGGGTGAAATTACTAAATTTGCCCAACAGTGCTGATTATAAATGTTTTTTTCATGCGAACACCATAGCATTCCGGAAAAAGATGTTGGGCATCTTTATCCAACTGGGGAAGGATGGTTCATCATCTTCATGTCAAAGTAAAAACTGCATGAGTGCGTTATTTGACACATTGTACTTTTTAACTTACTGCAAAATTTTAAGAACTTTTTTTCCAACCAAAATCCATTTCTGAGATTTTAAATAAACTATTGTACACTTCAGTTCAAAATTTCCTTGGAGTTGGAGACAAAGACCCATATCAGATTGTAGCCATTAAGAAGTAAAAACGCGTTTAAAATTTCGTACCCGAATTCCATCTTCGTTGACAAACTCAAGATCAAAATAGTCGGATTCCAAGATATTGAACCGGCGGATGACCTGCACATACAAGTCTGCTCCACTGGCATTGTGCTAAAAGTATTCCAAATGAAGTAACGACACTTAAATTTCAAAAAACGAACCACTCAGTATAACGCGATTTAAGACAAAAAGCAGTAATTCTCCCAAAATGTTATATTAGGTGTGCATTCGCATGTTATATCCAATAAAGGGTTAAAACTGCTTTGACTGGGGTTAAAATATTGGCTTTATCTATTCTAAGTTCCCTAGATCCCAAATCTCCTCCTTGAAGACTAAGTGAGAAACACTGATTTACTCATTAAGGCCTCCTAGTTTTACAAAGGAAAAATGTGTCTTTATAAAAGTTATGGTAGTTAATCTGTACCCATGAAGTTTCTCAGTTAATAAATTAATGCCCAGTTATGTTGAATCCACCTAGTGCAGTCTGAACGAATGTAATAAAGCGGCAAACATTACAATACAAATATGCGCAATCCATATGGTGGCGAACTTAAGCATTATAACGACGGTATCAGCGTATCTAGGCACATCGCAGTAGTATGCTGACACATACGTTTTACGCTGTTTTCGTAAAGTATTCGGAAGCTAATTGTTCGAATAATATCTTTTTAGGCGACTGCGTGTTATAGGCAAAGAACATATGATTACGTAAAGTTCCATAATCACATGGTATTTAGCGCTGACTATGTCATAATCCGCCTAGTGTTTAAAAGTTATGAGTCAGTCGTGAATGAAATACATGCAGGCGTTCGTAAGATATGGGTAATTATGCTTTCCTTTATAATAAGATGAGAGTAAACCTATTTATATCATCAATTCTAGTATCGACAATCTTTTAAGTTATTAACCACCGTAAATTCATTTGACTGAATAAGTAACTGCAAGCTAACAAAGGAAAATTTGTTATCAGATGCGTCCGAATTGTGCATGAAGGTGTTTAACACATTATAACTCCCACGTAGCCTGACGATAAAAATTAAGAACGTCCATATGCATGGAAAAATTAAACCGGTGCATATCCAATTACTTGATATCAGTCATGTGCACTTCTCTTCAAATTAACGGATAAATTCGGACAAATCTCTTCCTAGTGTTATTCAAAAAGAATAAAATGCTTTCATCAAAGTAAATGGGCAGCGTTGTGTTACGCTTTCCAGGTGTCAGTCTAGTCATCATGTCCAAATTGAAAAGGATGCATTTACAAAATACTGTGTAGGAAAATATGTGTAGGTCGAAAGAAACAAAAGGCGAAGAATTCTACAATGTTTTGGAACGGCATATTGGTAAGGCAAAGTTCACACTAGTTATGAAGTTCTTTTACCCCTTCTTGCATCTAGCAAACGACATTTTTTTTATCAAAAGTCCGTACTGGCCTGAGTAAATTAAAGTGCGTTTATGAGGATTTTTGATGCAATAAACCTAGGAGTTGTGTGCGTACGTTTCGGAAAAATTAACCTCAAAGATGGAAATCTAGGCACTCTTAAATTAAATCTAAGTGCCTGCTCATAGTTTTGTGACAACTGGTAGAGCTATGTGATAAGATGTCTGAGCACATTAACTTCACGTTTAGCCACTTGAACTTATGCAAAATTGATGACTTGGATGCATTTCGTCTCTGCAGTTTTCATCAATGTGGATGTTTTTATTACGAAAGACATAACTGCAATCTAACTGAGGACGAAGGCTTTTTGAAATATAAGGAAATATTCCAATAGGCAAAAATAACGTAGTCTGCTCTTGAATAACAGAAAACCAAACAAATACGGTAGCCAAGCTTAATATCCTACCTGGACTTATCCGTTGCCAATAAATAAAAAATAATGTCATAAGGCATTGTCGCTAAAAGGAAATATGGCGTTGAAATATGGCGGTTGCCAATGCTCAAATTGGCTTCGGACTTCTGCAGCGTGTTAGAAATTATTTTTCTTAGCCCTACACTAGATGCGGCCTACATGGACGTCTACATAACATCGAATTCGCTTTTATGCTAGAAAAAGTACTTTTTGAAATAATTCTATTTTAATGTATAGTCATGAGTGCAAAAGTGAAAAATATTCAGACCCTCTGATTTCTATTAAAAAATACCGTCAACGTCTGTATCCAGTGTTGTTTTTGAAACTACGTTTTAAATCACTTTCGCATGATCATAGCTCAGTTAAGTAGGTATGTAAAAGGCTATGCCATACTGGTTCATAGAGTTAAACTACATTATCAGTAAGATGGCTGTGCTACAATCGACTTATGAATCTCATCAAATGTGTCACATAACACTGCGGCCCCTATGAGTCCTTATTCTTCAGGAAACGATTCTCCGTTTATTCAATAAAGAATCAAAAAACTGCGAATTCAGTTTTAAATTCAGAAAGCTATTGAAAGGTTATATTGAGAATGTGGGGTCTCGAGCATTTACCCTCAAATGTTATTGGAACTGCCAATATTTTTTCAAAAATATAAGCATTTTTCCTGCTTCAACAACTAAAAAATGTAAAATTAATAGCATAAGAGCAGACCTATGACTAACTTATATGTGGGCATCAAATCCTAATTAACTTTCACCATTAACTTGAAATTTTGGAATTTCTGCGATATACGATAAATAAATCACGTATCGGCCGACCACAAAAATATTCACATAGGGTGTTTGCCTAAAACATTTGGCCATAAAATTTCTTCAAAAGCATTTAAAATCAGCTAAGAGAATTCACAAGACAGTGAAGTAAATCATTTCGATATGTACGCAATTTTTAAGCCTAGCAGTACAATCGACGTACAGGAAGCTGGACGGTGTGAACAGTGTCATCCAAGTGAAGAATACGAGTGTTTAGGCTTTTCTGTTTTTTATCGACGTCTGCGGACTCTGTGTTCTCTACCCAGTCAAGGGTGCGGCTTTGGCTCATCTCATTCCAGTGCAGCTGCAAATGACACCACAAGGATTAAAAATGCTTTTTTGTTTCGCTCAAACCTGACATGTGATTGCAAAAAGTAAAAGTTGCAATTGGAAACAAATTTACAGTTACAAGCGTGAGATAACCTGCGCAACGTTCTATGCTTATGTGTGGAGACGGAACTATTCTCGTACGAGCAAATTCACCCTGCCTTATTTTGAAATGAAGTAATTAACAAAACCCCAATCAGATGTTTTTAAAATTTTGTCATATTACAACAAAGTATCATATTTTATAGTTGTGAACTTTCACATAAAGACGCCCAACAAAACCGTCGACACATTCGCCTTAAGATTTATTACTTGTTAAAGCGTAGTAAAGATGAGGGAAACACATTATTTTAGTCGTTTTTTACACTAATATTAAATTGGCGAATTCCGAAACATTTAATAACGTCCTGTCTGTAAACGCATGTCAACATGTCGGCTGCAAAATATCCCTCTTAAAAATTGGCTAAAGCTTTCAGAGAACCTGATCATTTTTCACGAGAAACTCTGAATGGTTGGCCGCTTAATTTTATTACCGTTATTTTGGACCGTCATATGCAAAAGTCAAAACAGCCGCCTTCATACGGCTGCAATGAAAGATTAAAATAGCATGACATAAGTTTAATTTGCTTGTTTCGTTTACAAAAGTCTGATTTCGTTTATTTTTTCCGAGGCTTTTACATCGTTTTTTAGAATTCGTATACAGTATATCGTCAACAGTTGTGGGTGTGACGCAGTGTCCTCCGAGTGACTGAAATTCCTGTTCGCATGGATGACATTGCGGATAAGTTTAACAAAATACCCCACTACTTTCCAGAGGGATATATGCTGTTGGTAAGTTAAATCAGAGTTTGTGTATCCTCGTTTTTATTAATAGCTTTACTGACCTCATCAATCATTGCGACCTTGTCTACCTACTTATGAGTCCTAGTTCTGAATTATGGCTCCAGCTACACAGTGCAGTTCGTTGGAAAATCATCCTGCGTAAGGCTCCTATTCCAGATCAAGATCGATCAGGTCAGCAATTTATGCTAGCCAGAAAGGCGTGAGTCAGGAGTCTGCTTCATGTGAAACGTCACTATTCAAAAATTTTAGGCATATAACTAATGAGAATTTTTAAAACAGCAAGTCTATATAGGACCATCATTATCTGCCAAGCCAGATCATCACTGGTTAATTGTTCAGTATCGGTCAGTATATTTCGGGGTAATAGGCAATGCCTTTAAACAGCCTAGTGAAACGCTACGCTTGGATTACGTATTCCAGTTGCGAACGAATAAGTCCTCCGTAATCTGCACCTTCCTCGGCATTGGCTGTTTGGTTTAGTGGAAAGATATCAAGGAAAGCTGATCTTAACTTTACATTTTCGCTTTGTTCTATAAGTATCCGACGCATGGACCATATACGCCAACCAAACCAGAAAGTTGAGACACTTCCATCTGAACTGTATCCGATGAATACTAAATCTGGAATGAAGGAAAAGAATCCTGGGAAATGGAGTAGTTAAGCAGGCTGAAAAAAAACAATATGCACTCCAGGGGGCCCCCCTTAGGCAATTGTCGATCAGTTTGGCATCTAAAACTATCCCAGTAAAAATCAACTGGCTTGTGGAATTATCAAGACTGAAGCAATAATTTACGCGGCCAACCGCATTGGGTGTTTGCTAACCGTTTTTCCACATTAGAATGCCTGTTTTATAGGCACGAAATGGATACCGTACACTGCTTGCCTGCTTGTTATCAAACTCACTCCAGAATGAATTTTTATTTGCCTTGAAAGTACTTTATGGATGCTAAACGAAACAATTTATTATTATAATTTCGACCGCCGAAGCCGAAAGAGTGATACCAGATCGCTAACCCCACGGATCCTCAACCCTAACGCTCCATCACTTTTAACGTGCCCACTATGTCACCGCCCATTTCGCATAACAATTGGTTTCGCTGGACGTCTGCTGGCTCCACGTCATTGCATCAGCATTTGCTGTTACCGAAAGCACCTCCACAGTTACTCGTACTAGAACCGCCACGAAGGCCGAGACAGCCAAAACCATCATCGGTGAGTAAAATCAGAACCTTCTGTCGCCGTAGCCGCGACTGACGCAGACCGCAATCTTTACTATCTCCACCAAAAACCCCGCGACGACCACAACCACTTATGTTACTTCCGCCGCCGATAAGAACACTCCCGACGTCCCACCAATCATCACCCTCATTGTCGCCACCACCGCTCGGCCAGCAGCAACGTGGACTTGCTCCGAATCTGTTCCGATTGATGTAGAGCCATCACATCCTCTATTGACCTGGTCGGCCACTTGCGAGTGTATCTAACTCAGAACGACAAGCCGATTCTGGAAGTCCTGACGTACATCCACCACATCCCCTCAACAGCCTGCATTTCCCACACGCGCCCAGTCATCGTAAGTGTCCTATCGGACACATGCGCATCCAAAACAACAAAAAGCACCGAAACGTCAGCGATCTAGGCACACCCTGCACGGACGAAACTTTTTCCATCTCCAGTACTGCAAATACCCCTTTACCAGTGTCGCCATTGTAAACTGCATCACCAACGCTACTAACACAACACACCAATCAATCCAGATCATACCGTCATCGCACATGCATATCACCTATCTACCCCTATCGGTTAGACGAGTCCATTGCACGGAGGTTGTTGAAACAGTGCCAAAACACCAAGATGCACCTGTCGGAGTCGCCTCACATCCCACGTATGTTAAATCACCGCATGGGCCTACTCGGCCAAATAAGCTTCCATGCAAATCTGGGTCTAACCTTGACAGACCAAATCCAATCACCATACATCTTCCCGCCAGCACATACACCACATGCAAACCCGTCAAACATCACTCGTTAAGGGCATGGACTTAGCCGCTCCCACGTATGTGAAAAGCTTGTCTTTGAATCCTCCTCTAAGTGGCCTGTAGTGCTCTTGAAGATGTAAGGTCGAGTTTCCATATTTTTTTATGAAAAACTGGTGTTTTGTATGGAGCCGGCTTGCGTGGCACGCGCAGACGTTTTGTTTCAGCTCTGCGAGTCATTATGCCCGCTCGCTTCACCAGCTGTTTGACCGACTCTGGCATTCGACTAGCACGTGGCAGAGGGAAAAGCAAACTAGGGTGACTCCGTGGATTCCACCCCCGCGACACCTCAGTGTATTCATCGTCATGAAAAACCCAAAGCGCTTGAATACGCCACGACACGCTCAGCGTCGTAGATTGGGAGTTTATCGACTGATGGTACAATTCGGATCTCTCAGTCGGTCCTGTACGTGTTTTTGTGTAGAGTGGTCCACTGGTGCACTTTAAGGAAAGGTCAATAGCTCTTTCTTAGCTTAATCTCTACGCACCCGCACGCATGGAAGATGTCAGCTACACGACATTTTTTCTGAAATCCTGGTGTTTTGTGGAGGCCAGGTCGTGTACGGCATTCGCTGACTGGCCGTTTTGCTCTGCCAGCCACTTACGCACAACCCCCGTAACAAGTGTGTGATCGGTTGGGACAGCAAGCCGAAAATTGCTCCAGGCATGTGGCCAACCCGAAAAAAGTATAACGGCATGCGAGTCGTAATTAATTAGCTTATTTAGATATTGATATTAATAGTCTATGCACTTGTAACGGTGTATTGATTTTTGCCCAACCTAAGCGAGTACCGAAGCAATGTAAGAACGTTTTGTTCGGTGACGGCGGCAGAAGGTAGTCGCGTGAAATGAAAGATAGTTTCCGGGGTAAACAGACACCTAAAAAAATCATAGAAGTGCAAGTTGGACCGAAGAAACTCTCCTTCCCAACAATTTATTGGCCGACCGAACCTGGATTTGCGTACGAACTCAAAAACAGGTCTAAGCCGTCGCTGGACGGGAACTGTATATGAAGCCAATACACGATGACAACAAGGGTGCCTACGCGCAATAGTAGCCTCACAATTGTTAGATGATGAGTCGGATATTTGGCGTTGCAGTTGGGGACGAAAGCGAAGGCCAGGGAAAACGGCATGATATGACTGGATAAGCATGATAGCTTTACAACAACAAAAATCGTAGTAGTTACGTTCAAAACGATAAAGCATGTGAGGGCCGGTCGGTGGGAATTATAAGGTGAACCGTACTCCGTCTACACGAAAAAGGGCGCAAGCCGACACTTCTGCCGCAAGCGGCGCGCGGGAAGGCGTAAGGGGAGAACAGGGGAGAATATAAGAGAGGAACAACCTGCGACTTCACACGCTAATCATACTTTGTTCAGGAAGCCCAGGTGCCGCGACAGTAACAAAAACACAAGTAAGTGAAAGCGGCCGACAAGGGTATAGTAACCTCTAACCAAGGCATGAACCTAAAGTGGACAATCAGTTGAAGAACGTTCACATGCTACCGTGATCGTCATCCCGAATTAGCTGCTTACATAAGCCCGAAGATTTAAGTCATACCAGTCAAACAACCAGCGAAGCAAAGCAGGCTAATCGTGGCATGTGGAAATGCAAAGCCGGTGCACGGCGCACTAGCAAAGAGAATATTTAGATTAGTTTAACTCAAGTTATTAGGATATGAGACTTTCGCCATCAAGCTCTCCCTTAAAATCGAAAATCGGCAATAAAATCAGCCGTTACGTCAGCAGTTCTGAAAAATTAATTCATCGGTTTTTGTGCGCCTGCGGTAGCGTGCAGTGCCCACGAGTAGATGGCAACTACAAAAATATACCCCAAAATTCAGTGTGACTGTAAACATCACTTATTATTCACCGTTCCCATTGTTCGAAATTTCCTACCCTTCCCGACCAAATTTAAATTTACAAGCTGCGCTTTATTCAAAGTCCGTTATTTTTTCAAAAGTCGCTTTTTGTTTATTTTTTGATTATCGCACTCACTCTCATTGCCAAATGACAACATGCGATAAGACTTTCGGCAGAAAATTACCTATTTTCCGTGTCTTCTTGCTCTCCGTCCTGTGTGCGGCCTCACAAGCAAAACCTCTTCTACCATCATTAAACGTATGACATGGTTAACAGACTAGCTCAAGTCCGTTGGATGTCCTACAGCTTACCGTTGTCCACAAAAATTGTGTAGAACGACTTTGAAATTCGAGTGGGATAAAAAATACAGCAAACATTGTCGACTATTAGCAAACAGTTCTACAAATGTCTGAAATTGTATATAACAAGCGCCAAGGAATATCTTATGAGTTTGAACTGTGCAGCTTGGTCTTCAGGCTTCTTAAGAAAACTAATATTCCAGCAACGTAGTTTTATTTCTAATGTTTCTTTTGTATGTTCGTTTAGCTGAAGGTCGCTCGTTTTGAATCTAGCGTTTTAGTCTGTAAGTGATGGACCCATTAGGTGGGCATAACGAGTAGGCTATTCAGGAAACGAAGATAGCAGTATCCCAACAGTTACAAACTAGTAAATAAGAACAAAGTCGTCAGCAGGTGCAAGTGCTTGTTCTATATCTCATTCAAAGTTGTGTCAAGTTCCTTTAAAATGCAGTTTCAGTTTCAGTTTCAGTTTATTAAGGGAAATATAGGCGAGCGCCTTTGAACTCCCTATTGGTTACAAGTCGTCGGAGAAAAACATTGATAGTGGGAAGGGGAAAAAGGGGTTTTGTACATAATCGCTGACAGCTAGTCAAAAAGAGAAATCAATAACGGTTACTAACAAGTTACAAGTAGTATGAGCAAGTTTAAGTTGGTGCCGGTTATGTGAGTGGATGTAAGGCTGGTAACTGGGAGGCTTGATGCGCGTCAAGTCTAAACTTAAAGGACTTCACACAGGAGGAGGTTGCAACATCGGTGGGCAGGGTATTCCACGCTGCAACCACTCTGTGACTGAAAAAGAACTTTCTCCTATTTATCCTTGCTTTCCCGGCGCGTAGTTTTAGGGGATGACCGCGCAAATTGGGCGTGTTAGCTCGTGCGAAATAATCAGTGGGATCTAAACAACAGTCTAGGCCGTTGATAATGCGAGATGCAAGTATAAGGTCACCACGTAATTGCCTCTAGGAAAGTGGAAACAGGTAGAGAGTTGACAGTCGAGATTCGTAAGACAGCGCTCCCAGACCTTGTGTCATTTTGGTCGCCCGTCTCTGGACCTTCTCCAAAACGGTATAGTCCTTGGCAGTCCAAGGTCTCCACGCCTGTATGGCGTATACTAGATGAGGCCTCACGTAGGTGCCAAATATTTTTGAAAAGCTGTCTGGATCAAATCCCATAAATGCTCGCTTAATTAGTTGCAGTGTAGCCATAGCCGATTTAGACGCCTTCGCGCAGTGAAGTGTTGGTTTGAGTGAAGATGTAATCCATACACCCAAGTCCTTCTGACTGTCAACCTGTTGCTGTGGTGTGCCCTCTAGAAAGTAAGTCCTGGGGCTGGAGGCGCTGAAGCTGCCTAGTTGAAGAAAGTTGCACTTGCTTATATTGAAGGGCATAAGCCAGCGCTTTGACTAGTCTTCGAGCCTGTTCCGGTTTGCTTACAGGTGGTCTGCGTCTGCCGCATTGTGAATAACTTTCCACAATTTAATGTCGTCGGCAAACAGGATGGTATCACAGTCTAAGTCCTTGACGCAGTCATTTATGAAAACGAGGAATAACGTGGGACCTAGGACTGAGCCCTGTGGGACGCCACTCACCACGCTTACCTCTGAGGACTGTTGACGCCCGACCTGCACGCTTTGGGACCGTCCAGCCGAAAAGCTCTGGATCCATACAAGAAGGCGTCCACGAATTCCAGCGTTGCGCAGTTTGTGCAAGAGACGTTGGTGGGGAACGCTGTCGAAGGCCTTTTTGAAATCGATGTAGATGGCGTGCACCGCACTACCTTCATCGCGTGCTTTGGTCCAGCGTTCGAGCGTAAAGAGCAGATTCGTGAGGCAGGACCTACCACTTCGAAAGCCGTGTTGTGCATCAGAAAGGAGGTGGTGCTGCTCGAGGAACTGCATCAAGGCCTTCTTAATGATCTTCTCCATGATTTTGCAACAGATGGAGGTTAGACTCACTGGCCTGTAGTTATTCGCAGACGCACGACTTCCGCTCTTCAAAATCGGAGTGATGGTAGCGGACTTCCAGTTAGAGGGCAGGCATCCAGTAAGAAATGATGTTTGGAAGATCAAGGCTAATGGCTTGGACATTTCGGGAGCTAGCTCCTTCAGCAGCTTGGCGGGGATTGCATCAGGTCCTGGGGAGGTCGATTCTTTCAGGTTAAGTAACTCGTTCCGAACAATTGCGTCGGTGAAGAATAGGGCTTCAAGGGTAGGCTTTTCTTCGTCTTCACAAATGGGGGAGAGAAAATCAGGTTCACTTATCACGACGGACCGGAAAAACTGAGAGAGGTGTTCAGCCTTATCCTTGTCATCGGAGATTTCCATTCCCTCGGCTGTTCGCAGCAGTGGGATGGGGTCTTTGTTCCGCGTGCTCTGTCTTATGTAGCTGTAGAGGACTTTGGGATTAACCCTGGCACGGTTGAGAAGATCCTTTTCAAAGGCTTTCCGATCTCTAGCGATGAGAACTTTGGCCCGATTTCTCTGAGACTTATAACTGCTTAGGGATTCTGGCGTCCGGTCAGTCAGGGATCTTTTCCACAGCTTCCTCTTCTTGTTAACCTCCTTCTTTAAGGACGGCGTCAGCCAGCGGGGTCTATTTGTTAGTCTTCTGTGCATGATTGGGCAATGGTTGGAGATGAGGTTGTGGACTAACTCTTTGAACTGACACCAAACCTCTTCGACATCGCCGGATAGAGTGGATGCCCAGTCGATAGGACTTAGATGCCTTCTCATCTGTTCGAAATCTCAGCGCCAGATATTGGGTCGGGAATCGAGCGGTTGTGCAGGCAGGGAGAATAAGGTGTAATCCCACATGAGAACTACATGGTCACTCTGACCCAACGGGGGGAGGCAATTAACAACGTCGATATTGTCAGAGGACTTGGTGAACACCAGATCAAGGCAATTCATTTGCTGGCCCTCTCGAACTCTCGTTGGAAACATTACGTGTTGGGTTAGAAGCAGATTGTCGGAGGTACGCAGTAACTGCTGGTCGAATGCTGCTTCAGAGCAGTCGGCTGAGGCCGAGCTCCAGTTTATGTGAGGTGCATTAAAATCTCAGACGATGAGAGTAGCCGGTCGCATTGAAAATAGCCTTAGCTCCTCCTGCAGTTGGGTATCAGCGTCAGGGTCATTTCTCGGGGGGCGATATACTGTCAAGATATCGAGGCTTTGAGAGCCCGGTGCTCTTATGGTCAGCCACAACGCTTCCGTACTGCAAGTCAATTGGGCAGTTTTTTCTGAAACGTATAAGCCATTTTTAACAAATGTTACTATGCCTCCACCCCTCCTGTTTTGTCTGTCTCTGCGGAACAGTTGAAATCCAGGAAACATGAGTTCTCTATCATCAATCTGTTCCGAAAGCCATGTTTCTGTTATTGAGATAACGTCTGGGTGGAGGTCATGGGTAAGGATACGAAGTTCATCCAGTTTAGAAAGTACACTTTGCGCGTTGGTATACATGAATATGAGTTTCGAGTTCATGCGTGATTTTTTGTCAACCCCGACACAGGCTACCGTGGTATCTGTGCGGTCATTCGGATCGGCTTGATCCAGAGGGGGGCGGAATGTCGTTTGACTATCCGGTCGTTGTAGATTGTCAAGTCTTTTTCTCCGTTGGTTTGTCGTGTTCTCAATTCTAGGACAAGTTTGCAGCGTTTCATTCTCTCGGCAGGTGAGTAGTCCGGCTGAAAAAACACTCCTTTATGGGAATTTTTCAGTCGAAAACGTCTGGAAAGGATTAGTTTCGCCTGCTCATTGCTACCTAGGACAAGTTTCAGGGGTCTTGGTCGTGTCTGTGGAGCGGCGGTTGTACGGCTACCAAGACGAAACGCCTTTACGACTGTGACATCTTCCGTTGGTTGCAGCATTTCATTTAGGAGTTTCTGGAATTGCTCTAAGTCAGCAGCGACTCTTTCCCTGGGGTACTGGCGGAGGTCTCTGGCAGGCCCTGAATTATGATGCAGTGATCCTTGTTAAGCATTCCTCTGTGTTCTGCGGTTTGGACGTCGTTGACCGGTCCTTTGCCCTCGTCGAAGTGGACTGGCGAAAAGGAAGAGGCTGTCATATTGGTATTTATGTCCCCGTGAAGTTCGTCCGCGGATCTTGTTGAGGCATCATGAATAGTTGCACGATGTGGTTGATCGGCACTGCCTCCCATCAGAGGGCTCTGAAGAGAGCTTGACCCCCATGAATTAGAGGCTTCCTCGGCTCGGTTCTCAACTCTGTTGATATGGGAATTCGCGGTGGCAGCTTATTCCACTGTGGGTCCATAACCATATGTCATTGCGCTAATTGATAAGCCCTCTAAGTTAGGCTGCGGAAATGAGCACATTGTATGGGGATTTCTACGGTTGGGCGTCAACTGCTCCTTTCCTTTCACTTCTTCTGCTGGCACATTTACGGTCGTTTCGTTTTTCAACTGCTTTTCGGACAAGACCGATATGCTTTCTTTCGTATTCTGGCGACTTTTCCCCGTGGTGTTAGGTGTAGTCTTCTTCTTATTCTTTTTTTCATCGGATGCCACTATTTGCCTACTAACAGCAGTTGTCTTATTCACCACATGATTGCTTTCTGGGGATTCTTTACACTGGATGGCTCTCGCTCTACTCCGAGTTAACCTCTGCGTAGATAACCTCGGGCGGGCCTCTGAAGAAACAGTTTTGTGTATAAGCTCCTTCAGATTTCTTACTTCTTCCTCTAGATTATGCATATTGTAGGCTATCGTTTGACAACCATTACGTGAATATCCTACGAGATCCTGTGGTGACAAATTAACAAAACTTTTAGCTGTGTGCTCCGGTCGTGCGGGGATAGTGCAGGGGTTAGCGGAGCTGGCTCTAACTTTTGAGGTCCCCGGTTCGAACCCCAAGTGCGCGTTACTTTGAAACACAGGTGCGGACTCCAACATTTTGGATAACTTTTCTATATACACAAAGAGCGCAGGCTTAAGTATGAAGAAAAGGCTTTTACGACGATCTTTCGGTAGAAAGTAACTTCATATGTTATGGTCAAGAAGCTTCCGAGGGCAGAAATTTAGACAAATACTTTGAGACGATGATGAAACAATGTCTAGTAGTGGAAAAGCGACTCAGCCTTTGTAGAAGCTTCGGATGTATTGTTCTGTAGATAATCCGTCTGTCTGGGCTTGCAAGTTGTAGAAACGAGCACGGCCGAAATCGGAGTACAGGGAATGTGCTGCAGAAGACTAGTTGGGAGGAAGATGTTGATGAGTCGAGTTTAGGTCTTAATTCCGTCTTAATTGAGGCTCTAAGAGCGTACAGTAAGTCGAATTCTCGAAGAAACTAAATTCCGAGAGAGGGCGAAAATTTGAAATCAAATTCGAAGCGCGCGGACAATGGAGTAAAACAAAACTGACTAAACTGGCACCACAAGTCGGTGCATTTGGACTGGTTTCCGATCGAATAGAGATTTTCCGCTAATTTAGACATTTAACATGAGATAGGCCGCCTACTGTATATAAGGAGAAAAATGAACTAAATAACGGATTTCCCCCTACTCCGCCTTCGACTGGGACTCATTTGGAGAATCTGCAGTCGACTCCAACTCTCCGCAGTCTGGATGACAGGAAACCTTTAATTTGATCGAAAATAGTATACGGCAAAATAAAGCAAGAGCGGCGACTGGTGCGAGTACTACTTTATTGTGGTAGTGGGCTTGCGCTGCATCAACCACACTCTCTCCTTCTTCCCCATCTGAGCCCGGTGTCAAGATAGACCTAAGAAGACCAGAGGCGGGCACAGCCGAGCCCGCACCTTGGCGCTCGACTCCGAACCCTCTGGTCCACACAGCAAGTGACCAGGATTTTAACCAACAACAGCAATAGGGAGGGACCCAGGCGTGCCAATATGCGCGACGTCTGCCGGCAACTGGGTCTGCAGCCGCAGCCCGAGATGTTGGCATCTGCTATGGGGCGCATTCCGATAACGCCTGTCAGGATCCGATATGGTCTTTGTGTTGGTCCCGCGCATCTCCCACGTGGCCCGTTTAGGGAGGGGGGGGGGGGACATACACACTCAAGTTCTTGTAGGAGACGCTTGTCAAACACGCTATCAAGTGGCTTCTTGAAGGCGAAGAAAATCGCAGCCACTGGGCAGGCCTGCTCTACGGCCCTTATCCACTTTTCCTGCAAATAAAAAAACAAATGTATGACGAAGGACTCCGATAAAAGTCATGTTACTCTATGCATTGTAGGTTCCCCTGCTTAAATTACATCGTCGAGCGTCTCTTAAAAGGTCTTTCTATGAAAAAGCAGGTCCGGCATGGCCAGAGCAGACGTCAGAGCGCCTGACATGCCCGAGTTGGCCCCGAAGTTAATTGAGCGATTTGGAAAGTTTTGAGTGGTTGAGGACCAGATGAGCAACGGTACACGCCGTTAAGTACGGTCGAGAGACTCAATTATTCAGCAACCGGCCAGAGTAAGGTGAATAGAAATCGACCAGTCCTCCATGGGCGAATATGGGGATTCGATTTGGACCAGATGACCTACAAGGCTTCAGTCCTAGTAGTTATATCCTTATCACTGCAGGCAAGACGTGAAGGTTCTCTACCAGTTAAACCGATGCAAATTGTTGTTGTTGTTACTTTTCCCCTGCTTGGCTAGCTTCGTAAGTGAAAACCAATTGGACGAAGGTAAAGAATACTGTTGCTTCCGGCTTATCATTCGTCTCCAAAGTTCTGTTTTAAGGCTCTGCGTCGCAGCTGATTCATGGTTTCTATTTTCATTGCGGGGGTAACCGTACAGGACCCTGGATTGTTTCAGGGAGTATTTCGGTATGTTTGGTCCAGTGTTCGAAGCCTAAAAGCTTCATGTTTACGGTCAGCACGTTGTAATTTGTATATATTCGTCATTCTCCTTCTAAAGGTGGTTGGAAGTCCCTGCTTTACATATATCGATGGCTGTATGTTTCGCTCGTCTGGGCGGACCAACTGTATCAATAACAGTTTTGTCGAAGTGAACGCACTCCACTAAACGTTAACTGGTCCACGTAAGGTGGTCGTTGTTCCATGACTTCAAAATGTCTCGCTTATTAGGGAGTGACAATATATATATTGTGTTGTCATCGACAAAAGCGCTGAGGTACTTTATTTTATTGAACAGGCTCTGTATATTTAAGCACATTACCCTTAGTGCCCGTCTTCCTGGCGGGAAACTGGCCTGATTGTCAACGGTAGTTGTCATAGGAACGATCTCCTGGTCCGCTTTCTTTCGAATCCCATATTTCTAAACAACGTTCCTTCTTCATCTCTCTTCCGTTTCAATTTCATACTGAACTTCCTCATTTTAAGTCTGTCCGACAGTTCTCAATTCGGCCTAAAAACGTCAACCTAGGTGAATTTAGAAGAGTCATCCCCTTTCCAGCAGATTCGATGTCTCGGCCCTGTCTTCAGGAACAAATGTGCGAAGCCTTTGGTTTCTTCCTTCTCGGTTCTTCAAGTTCAGCATGATTTTTAGCAGTGCATGTTGGTGGACCACCAAGTGAAAATCCAGTCAGTTGGCGAACATATGTTTTCGGTAACTCATCATCAGGCCGGTACATTTGCCTTGTAAATGATCAATCTAATTGAATACAGGATATAAATGCGTCTCAGGGGACGGGTTAATCGGACTCCATGTTCCCACGTCGCCCGCATGACGGAGTCAGTGTGTTGAGGACGGTGGAGTTGGGGCCTGCGAAAACGGGTGCTAGTCACAGCCGAATCAGTGGCCATTCGACTGGCGAACCCAGCACTCTGTTATCAGAAGACGCTGACACAAACAGTCTGTCTGCCCTGGCCGACTCCAGACAGTGATCGCACGCCGTCCCGACGCCCTACGAGCAGTCACCCGCACTCACAGCGCTTACAATCTATCCCGAACCCCTCTAATTCCCCCCCCCCCCATCCCACCCAACATATTTTCACCGACTGACTTTTCAATTGTAATATGGGAATTTTCACAGAACTGAAAATCCAGAACTTACTTGTGAACCTAAGCTTTGGGTGCTGCTGTTAAATGACAAAGACGACGCGCCGGAATTGACTGACTATCTTTCAAATGGGAGAAGGGTCCCGTGTGTGCTGACATCTGTAGACATGTTGACTTTTACTTTAGTGTTAGGGGTGGTTGAGGAATCCAAACTCGTTCACGTTACTTTTTTTAGGAATGTCTGGTTCGGCTGATCATTTTTCTCTCGGTGTATGAAGAACAGTTTTTTGCAGAGTCCCCAGCTCGTTCTTTAGGCCACTAATTTTCACCCAATTGCTAGGAATTTCTGAACGCTCCTTAATTTCCCCATGCAAGTTTTTTTCCCGTAAGTGACACCCAGGAATCTGTTTATCCGCTTAGTAAGGGGTGATTTATTAACAGAAAATCCACAGAGTCAGGCTGCTTGTCAACTTCGGACACCTGAATACTTATCTTCCAGATCTGCTACCGTGAGGTGCTGGCTTAGGGGCATCTTCTCATGGTCCGCCATTTACGGACCTGGATCCCAATCCCGTAGTTCGAGGACGTTCTGCACACCTTCCTACGGCCGAGTGCTATGCAACTTCGATGCCCGTCATTAATCGGGCAAACGATGGAATGTTTTCCAAAGTCCGTAGAGGAAGAGGTCTTTCTTGATATTTGACGTTCCCCCACCCGTTTTTTGAGATTGGCGAGTCTAGATTCAACAATCTGCAAAAGGACACCACAATAGCTTGTCAGCACGACTCTGTGAGAAACTACAAGAGATGGGTCTCTGCCAAGCGATGAAACGGAGAATCGCCGCGGACACATCCAACTCATCCAACTCCCGAAGTTCTGCCTCAAGACGTACTTCATGTTTGACAGAAATCTACGAGCGGGTAAGAGGCGTCCCGATAAGTTCACGGATTTTGGGACTCATGGTTGAAACTGTCCCACAACGGTTAGAGCCGCAGGTTTTCCGAACCACAGACCGAAATTCTGGGCTCGGTATGTAGATGATACCTTCGTCATAATCGATCAGGATCGGGTGATGGCATTTGAAGGACATCTCAGCGCCACCTTTCCGGATAAAAAATTTACGATTGAGGAGGAAGAGACAACCAGCTGGCCGTCCTCGTCGTCTTCTTCTGCCTCCAAGATTGTAACGGCCTAAAAGCTGAAGCGTTTAGAAAAGCGACTACGACGCAAGTAATGGGCTTCAACAGCAGCCGCCCAATCAGCCACAAGTGCAGCTACCTAAATGGGCTGTGTCGGCATGTCGAGACGCACTGCACTGAACCAGAAGACATGGTTGCTGAAGTACGATATCGTCGATGAGTGCTTGGAGGCGAATGGCTGATCGCGCAACCTTGTCAGCCGGCGCGTTAGTTAACTCAGCGAGAAACAAAATTCAACCGGGCCCAAATTCTGGCGAGGGCTTACTTACGCGGCGAATGTCTCAGAAGCCGCCAGCCACCATCTCACAGCATTCGAGTTTGGATTTGTGCACAGACTCGAGGCAGGCGCCAGATCATGATGCCGAAAAACCCACAGTCATGGCGGGAAGCGCCTGGAATCGTTTACCGGATCTGTTGCAGTTGCGGGCAAAGCAACTGTGTCGAAGAGACTGTAGGGTTGCCTTTAACGCGAATGGTTGAACATGCAACAGGAGGAATGACGAAAGCTCTCAAGTCAGGGCACAATCAACGAGACCTGGCCACACCTTTAAGCTTCGCGAGGCAAAAAATTCCCACAAATGAGGATTGCTACATGAGCCGCTTGTTACATAAGCCATGGTTTTCCGGCGCACATTTAATTGACGGGCGCAATAACCTACCGTCTTCATATTCTGTGCGGTTTTGCCTGGGCAAAATAATTAACCGCGCGAAGAGGGCGCGGGCATGCAACGGTTCCGGTGACTGAGCGAAATTGCCGAATAATCGTCACGCAGAGAATCAACAATGGTGCTGAAATCGCAACAACTAAGGACTCAGGTACGGGCAGACAAACAATAATCACATCATATAAGATCCCCAGTGATGACAACGAGTGCTGCGTGTGGCATGTGGTTGCCTAGCTACCTTGGCTCATCAATACTGCACTCCTTTGTATCAACTGCCCTTTTCTGCAACGGTTTCTGGTGATGTGTCCGAGCGAAAATCCGAAACGTCAGGCCAATAAACTTCTTGTTCCATCGGCCGCTTATTCCTCCTCTGAAGTGCTTATTCGTACTCGCCTATTCGTTTCCATCGGAAAAAGGTCCTATTCCTGATCAGAAGCAATCGACCATTGTCTACAGACTTCAGTGCAGCTGCTGGGTGTGTAATTACGTTGAAAAACTGGCCGACGGCTGAGAACGCAAATGTATAATCAACAGTTAGCCATGCGAAGGTTGGACCCAAAGTCTTTGGTTGTAACCAATGCCGCACAGTTGAACACATCTTTAACTCTGGCGTAGATTAGGTTATGGGTCGAGGCGACGATAACACGTTAAGATAGGTGCAAAAATCCTGGAGATACGACGACTGCTCAGTCAACCGTCACTTCAGTTTGACTCCCCCTGTCTGCTTTTACGAACCTTCTGGACAGGAGACAGTGAGAGCGTGAAACAATCAGGGCCGTCAATTATCGTCATAGTCAATGAGTGCGAGGGCGACACAGGTCATGCCAAAAGGAGACCCTGTTCGATCTCACAGTCAGCAATGATGAACTGCGCAGCAAGCAAAATGAGCCGATTAATGAAAGATATGCACAAGACTCACTGGTCTCCGAAGATGAGTGGGCAAATTCACTGCGCGACAAGTCAGGGCACAAGTAAACCCCTCCCTCTTATCCTTTGGTTATGCTACCTTGAAGTCGAATTTTTACTAATACCGATGTTTTTACAGGCAGATTGACATAACCGACAAAGACGGGTGAGACTGAAATGGCCATATCTGGCTTGTTAGCCGTCACCCAGCCAGTCATATCCAGTTTCGGGCCCAAACTCTCGATCTGTTGTCGGTAAGAAGTCCAACGCTCTAGCTATCGGCGTCTTTCAAAGGACAGTACCTGAAATCTAGTCAGGACAAAGGCACCGAAGGTCGGCCATTGTGGAAGGGATGACACTAAACTGCTCACCAGTACCAATCAGGAAACGTCTGCCACCCCGGTCGTCGTAGCAGGTGTAGAAGGCTTGACCAGGGCCAACGATTCCGGGAAGACTGGTTGCAATGACATTCGGGCTGACCCGTTTCACCCGTTTGTTCTGCTGGGAAACGAAGCAGGGAGGGAGGGAAAGAGAGAGAGAGAGTGAGAGAGAGAGAGAGAGAGAGAGAGAGAGAGAGATAGCGACGAGCTCTGGTACCACACGCAGTGTGGGTAGCGGCGGGCTTGAGACAAGACGAAGGGTTGGGCTGGACATGCCGGACAGATGACCTCGGCGGGTTCCGAGATGATGAAAGGGCTGTCTGATTTTGGATAGAAGCCGCGTTGTGGACAAACTTCGTAATATCAGACTTTAATTGCGAGAGCGGAGCTGCAGGAAAGGCTGTGGGCATCGGGAGTGCGGCAAGTGACGGTCTAGTGAAGTCGGGCATCTCTATAGGTTGTTCGACCATCTGAGTAAATTTGGTGGTCAAAAGGGGGCCAGAATCGGGTGTTTATATTTCTAGTGGGATGTTTTCCATTGTAAACGATCGGCACCATCGCAGATTAGGAAGGAAGGGAGACTGACGTTCATAGGGGGTTCCTCACTGCTGAAGTGGGGTGTCGACACGAAGGCTCTAATCTCGATTCAGGAAGACAGATGAAGTTGAATAAACGGTAACAATCGGAAGATGACACCCAAGAAATCCGTTACCTAGAAATAATGCCTCCAACAGTGGACTCAAACGCTTTCAGACTATATCAGCGGTTGCAGGCCTACTTTCACGCACTACTTGGACTTTCCGAGGCGGCCAAACATGGGCTGGCTGAACGAACATCGCAGGAGGTTACATGGACGATGGTCGCTATTACCCAACCTTCCCCATCGTAGAGGCGTTGACTTCTAAACCAACAGGTCGCGAGTTCGAGGCTCGGGTGTTCCACACTTCGGGCTTGGGTATGGCTGGCTGACGACGGCTAATAAGCCAGAAATGGCCATTCCAGTCTCCCTTGTCTTTGTCGGTAATACTATTCTGCCTATTGAAGCAGTGTTTTCCCGGGATAAATTTGAACAAGGCGAAGGCGACAAAGCATGCAGAATTTAATGACGTCATAAATTTCGAGACCTCTCATTCAGCTGCACACGGTCATTGCATGGTTATATTACAAGGCAAAACTGTTCAATCAACGATCGACCTAGAGAGCTAAAACGTGATAGGTAGCCTGAAGCAGGGTCTAGTATGCGGGTGCATATGGTGAGGGGGGGAGGGGGAGAGAAGTCATCCGAGTATGAGAGAACTGGTGCGGCGTGATTTGGAGTGCAACGTGCGGGGAGCATTCAGTCATGTCGGGGAGAGGGGGGGGGGCGGGTGGGGGCGAAATGAGCGGGCGTACATGGGAACAGGGTTTCGTCCATAATCGATAATTACCATGGCAGTGCCAGGTTTATCACATGGTCCAGCTGCTTACTGAGTTCTGGTTTACTCCTCCGTATTGCAGCGGCCTCTGCAAAGCGCACTACACACACACACTACAAAACCTTGATCGTCTCGCCCTCTCGAAAATGGAGGAATGCGAATACTCACTCTCAAATCTGCGCTGCCAGCTAGACCAGTCACAGCATGTGATGGACTCGGTGAGTCCAATGTGTTGGTTATTGTTTACAAAATACGTTCTAAACTTGCAAGCTAAGGTAAGACAATCGTACCACGCTGATCTGATGAAGTCGCTAAATAGACAGCCCGTAGACGAATCGTTTCCAGTAAATCCAGATGACTACATTGTCAACATGTTGCATTTGAAACTGACTAAACTGCAAGCCGAGGCCCTCTCTTTAGGACTTAAGTTTTGTGTGCCGAGAAGAAAAATAGATCCGACGGAGATTGAGGCTCAATTTGAAGACCTATATCACCAATTATCGGACAATTATCGGAATTAACACCGACGTCAGAGGACAACGTGAGATGGTTGAAAGCGAAATTCGTAGATATCGCCTATCAATACAGAACTTTCCCGACTACGCAACGCTCACTGCTAACCAGACAACACATCTCGGCCCTAGCTGATCTACGTAAGACTACTGAAGTCGTCATCTCAAGACCTGACAAAGGAAGCGGGGTCGTGATCCTAAATAAGACTGATTACGTGAGAAAGATGGAAGCGATATTGAGTGACTCCAGCAAATTTTCCTCGGAAGCCCATGAGAAATAAGAGACCAAAGCGCTAGAAGACCTTATTGGGAAAAAGCTTAAATCGTTACTTGAAAAGCAAATAATAGACGAGAACTTGGCTGCGTGTCTTAGGCCTGTAGGGTCGCATATTCCCAGACTATATGGACTGCCAAAATTGCACAAACCAGGGGTACCATTACGACCGATTCTATCAATGAGGAATTCACCTCAACATTAACTTGCCCAATGGGTAGTGAAGCAAATCGAACCAATCAGACGCAACCTTGCCGTATATACTACCAAAGATACATTTTCCTTCGTAGATGAGCTTAAGCATCAGAATCTACTGAATAAACACATGATCTAGCTTGATGTGCAGAGCCTGTTTACAAACGTGCCACTGGATGAAACAATTGACGTAATTTGTGAGCATGCGGGTGAAACACACCTACCACCAGAGCAACTACGGGAACTACTACAGATATGCACAAAGAATGTACAGTTTTTGTTCAACGGGCGGCTGTATCGACAGATCGACGGTGTAGCTATGGGCAGTCCATTGGGGCCAGTCCTAGCGGACATTTTTATGTCTAATCTGGAGCGAAAACTAGCTCGGCACTTACAACGAGCCTCATTCTATAGGCGATATGTGGATGACATTTTCGCTTTAGTCAAAAACCCAGGCGAAGGAGAACTACTGCTCAAGGCTCTGAACAAAGCACATGCAAAGATCAAATTTACGATCGAGCATGAGAAGAATGACACACTGCCTTTCCTGGATATTCTTGTACGTAGGCGAGCAGATGGCTCTATTCAGAGATCCATTTATCGAAAACCCACCTGGAAGGGACAATACATGCACTTCCTCAGTTTCGTTCCAATTCAGAGAAAACGGAACTTGGTTTTGTGCCTGTTCAATAGAGCCACCAGAATCTGCTCCTCAGATACGATCGATGGCAAGCTTACTTTCCTAAAAAACGTTTTTCTTGCAAACGGGTATCCGGAGAAATTCATCGATAAATATCGCCATCCCAGACAAGAAACTCCTGAAGAAATATCTGTACCTAAAAAGTCCGTGACCATCTACCTCCCCTTCAAGGGTGATAATGTGTCAAACGTGATCAAGCGACGACTTCGGTGCACTATCGAAAGGACGTATGCCGCCTCTAAATTGTTGTTCATAAGCACCACAACCGCCATCCCAGTTAAACCAGCTAAAGACATTTTGCCTATGCACGCCACATCAAACTGTATTTATGAGTTTACATGTAGTTGCGGATGCAAGTACATCGGGCGCACGCAAAGGCAATTGGCAGCTCGGTCAGCTGAACACATGCCGAAGTGGCTGCTTAAGGCGGAAAATAAGGTACCCAGGAGCTCAATCACAAAGCACCTATTGGACACGGGCCATACGGTGGACCAAATGGTTGCATTCAGGGTCCTGTTTCGGGCGACGACCGGGTGTCTCTTGCGCTTTGCAGAGGCCGCTGCAATACGGAGGAGGAAACCAGAACTCTGTAAGCAGCTGGACCATGTGATAAACCTGGCAATGCCATGGTAATTATCGATTATGGACGAAACCCTGTTTCCATGTCCGCCCGCTCATTTCGCCCCCACCCGCCCCCCCCCCTCTCCCCGACATGACTGAATGCTCCCCGCACGTTGCACTCCAAATCACGCCGCACCAGTTCTCTCATACTCGGATGACTTCTCTCCCCCTCCCCCCCTCACCATATGCACCCGCATACTAGACCCTGCTTCAGGCTACCTATCACGTTTTAGCTCTCTAGGTCGATCGTTGATTGAACAGTTTTGCCTTGTAATATAACCATGCAATGACCGTGTGCAGCTGAATGAGAGGTCTCGAAATTTATGACGTCATTAAATTCTGCATGCTTTGTCGCCTTCGCCTTATTCTGCATATATATCATGCGCCGCTGTGCGGCTGCTGGTTGGGCTCGAGAGAGAGCTCTTAAGTCACAACGGAACGAGTGAGTTCCGTATGAACGATCGGTGAGCGCCCCCTACCATTGTATATTCCCGATCGAAAACCGACAGGGCAACGGGCTCGTGGCCCGGTGGGTAGAGGCGTTGACTTCTAAACCAACAGGTCGTGAGTTCGAGGCTCGGGTGTTCCACACTTCGGGCTTGGATATGGCTGGCTGACGACGGCTAATAAGCCAGAATTGGCCATTCCAGTCTCCCTTGTCTTTGTCGGTAATACTATTCTGCCTATATATCATGCGCCGCTGTGCGGCTGCTGGTTGGGCTCGAGAGAGAGCTCTTAAGGCACAACGGAACGAGTGAGTTCCGTATGAATTATCGGTGATCGCCCCCTTCCACATACACCTGAATATACGGCATACATTCCCATTATGACAGTTTATTACAAAATAAAATCACTTTAAACTAGGATAAGTCTACACAACATGGGACACTAACAGTTCCCAGACATCTGTCAAAGACATGGCATTGAAGCCAAACCAAAGACGATACTGTACTTCGTCTATGTGGGCCCACAGAGCTCGACCACATAAAGGGCCTCCCTGGTGGAGTTCCCTTTTCAGTCTACTCTAGTAGGCCTCAATGCATTGGTGTGCTGTCCGGTGGTAGGGTCCTTGAATTTCTTTGAGTGGTTAACAGAGAAATGTAGATAACCCTCTGAGGGAAGACGATTTTACGCCTTCCACTCGTCCATTACTACTAGGCTGCCTCTGGCAGCCCGTTTTATAATAACGGAACGGAGAGCGGGCCAACTTCGATCATTCACCTGTTCAAATAAGGCTTTCTGTCAGCTAGTATCGTACATCCCTACCAGTTATCACCCATAAAACCCCTATTACCACCTGTTCCGTAAGACAGGCTGCTTTGATTAGGCGGATTTTTTTTGGGTGCCATCTCCCGATTGTTACCGAATAAACTTTATCGAGGCTAGAGAACATACAAGCGGCACAACAGGCAGTTGCAGCAGGCCGTCTCTTCAGGCGAGTGTGCGCAGGTGGGGTTGCTGGACCCCGGCGTCCGTGCCCAGACTTGTCCGTCCGCAATCAATCAGCTAAGGACGCAGCTTTAATTGGCCTCGAGTTCTGGCCACACCAGTGCCACT